TAAGAGATTAATACTTCTGAAAAAAAGAAAATTAAAATACAAGGAGTAAAAATAAGAGTTTGACAAGAGTAAAAACAAGATTTCCAAGAGCAAAGAAATTCAGAACTGGAATGAAAATCCTCAGTTACTGCTTGTGTATTTCTAGAACTTACAAACACTGGTTACTACTGTACCCCATCAGCCAGATATCTATGTACAGCAAAGAGATTAATACTTCTGAAAAAAAGAAAATTAAAATACAAGGAGTAAAAATAAGAGTTTGACAAGAGTAAAAACAAGATTTCCAAGAGCAAAGAAATTCAGAACTGGAATGAAAATCCTCAGTTACTGCTTGTGTATTTCTAGAACTTACAAACACTGGTTACTACTGTACCCCATCAGCCAGATATCTATGTACAGCAGCTAAGTAAAAAAGGAAGCAAACTTTAAATTCTTTCATTCAATGTCTTGGGCTTTGTAGGTTTTAGGCCAGACCCTTACTGTTCCTACTTTTGCAATACACACTGCTGTGATTCATTTTAAAATAGTTGAAATCAGCATCTATTAAATTACAAATACATTTCTATTTACAAATGGAGTTTGAATCACAAACCATGAAGTCAATTCTTTTGAGGAAGAAAACAAAAAGGAAACCATAAGTAGAACTTGTCAAAAGCACATAATAAATGAACAGATGTATGAACTGACATTTAGGAATTCCTTAATTTTTGCCACTAGTAGTAGTAGCCTGTTCATGGTGGTTAAGTCTAGTCTGATTATGCCATGTTGATTAACCAAAATAATCAGAAGATGGTTACGTTTCATTTCACCAGCAGCAGCCCCACTGGTGATGGAATCTTGTGTCCATATCAAGGTCTAATACAGTATATTACTATATTCTGTAAACCACCCTGCATGCTTCTCAGACTCATTCAGGAGTCTGCACTTCCCCTAATGACAGTTGCCTACAGCTGCTGAGTGAGTTATCCAAGCAGTCTATTAAGGATAAATGTTTCTTTGATATAAATGATCCATTCCTGAGAACTGGATCCCATTGGGTAGAAGGCACTGGAGCACTTTACAGCTGTTTCCAAGTCAAACAAGGGAGAGGTTAGCCTCTGTTGACAACAATCTGTGCTGTACAATTAAAAAAAGCAGTCATTTGTCTTCTTTGCCCTTAGTCTTTCTGTAGACCATTTCTCGGAAGCTAGCCAGGATCTTGTTCTCTCGCTTCCGTCTCTCCTCCTGGTTGAAAGATGCCAGAGCTCTCTTCTCATCTGCACTGTAGATCTGGTTCTCTTTACGCAGACGCACAGCTTCCATTCGGCGATGCCTGAGGAGAACATTGCATTTGTTAATAGGCAAAAATTCATTTAGCCTCGCTCTTTTTGCAAGAATATTCCTCGCCCTACACTGCTTTTCATATTATCCAACATGCTACCTGGAATTCACCAACACCACCTTCCCTATTATCTCAACAATATTTACATTCTAATGCAATTATAATACTTAGCTCTTATATACTTTTAATCTGTAGATCCCAAAGCACTTTACAAAGGAGGTCTGAATCAGTACCCCCATTTTACAGAAGGCAAACTGAGGCACAGAGGTGAAGCGGATAGCAAAAATACTCTGCAGCTCTGCTATTGGGAAAAACATACCTGTAGTAAACTTACTATGTTTGTACTTACTACAATAGGTTTATAGTCATAGGCTTTTTCACCCTTTTTGTTGTTGCATAATATACAGATTGTGCCTCTAAAATCTGGGACACTCCGGTCTGGCAAAACCCGCGCAGGGGCTGGGCTGGTGGTGGGGAGCGCAGCTCCAGCAGTAGGAGGGCTGGGGGGGGAAGAAGGGGGAGCACAGACGCATCCTGGAGCACAGCCCCAGCTGCAGTGGAACCAGCACAGTGGGGAGAGGAGCCCTGCCTGGAGCTGGAAGCACAGTCCCAGCTGAGCCAGTATAGCGGGGAGTGTAGCCCCGTCCAGACAGAGGCAGTGGAGCCGGCACCTGGGAACACAGCCCCAGCCGGAGTCAGTGTGCTGGGGAGCATAGTCCCAGTCCCAGGTGGGAAGCGCAGCCCCAGCTGGGGGCAGCGGGGAGCAGGGTGGACCTCCCCTGGTCTGGAAAACTCTGTCATTTGGATCACTGTGGTCCGAAAGGTGCCAGATTAGGGAGGTCCAACCTGTACATACTTAGCAACTTTTCTTTGGTGCTTTCAACCTGATCACCCATACAAGGGCGGATGAGAGTTTTGCAGGGCCCAGGGCAGCACAATTTCACAGGGCCCCTCTCACCTGGCATCTCCTCTCTCACCTGTGTTGTGCGGCGTTTCAGCACGCCACGTATGCGCTCCTTCACCATGTGGCACGCGGCGCCGGGGAATTTAAAATGCGGTATCCTGCCGGGCCAGTCTGCCCCTGAGCGTGGGGCCCAGGGCAACCGCCCCACCCTATATCGCCACTGCACCCATGCAGTCATAAATCTCACCCTAAGTACCTTAATAAAAAAAACCCTACCTGCTACCACTCATTACATAACCAGAGCACTCGAATGATGCAATCTCTTCACTGGTCAAGCCAATTTCACCTCTTCGAGGGATACGTTTTCCAGCCTTTACGTACTCTGCCATAGCTGCACCTTCACCAGGCAGCAAAGCATGACCATAGCTTTAAAAAGAAAAAAAAAAAAAAGAAGTCACAAGTTTGAAACTGAACAATCACAAGTATAATTAAACCACAGGCTAAAACAAAGGTGATCTCACAAATCTAGCACTGGAAACCCAACTAAGCAATATTTATTTCACTAAATTGGAGCAGCATCATATTTAATAATTTGTTCAAACTCTTGGACATGACATACTGGAATACTCACTCCCATGCTGAATATACAGACTAACTGAAGCAAGTAAGTTTGTAACAAAAGTTTCCATTTACAGCAGGACTGCCTTCCTCTGAGTTGACATGTTACTAAAGAACAATTGTGCTGGAGAGGAAGACTCACTAGGAGTAACTCACTTGATCTCTCGCTATTCATCACTGTATATAGTCAGTTCTCTAGTTAATGTCCGTGCTTCCTTTAATCTCAAGAGAGATTATAAACTATGATCTTAATAGAAAAATTATTATAGTAGGGAAAAATACATAATAATAATAATAATAATAATAATAATAATAATGTGGCCACTCTATTGAAAAAAATGGAATAAAATATCTGTAACAAAAGTAATCAGGTACGCATGCTGAGGTTTATCTGATTTCAGGAGGCTTTCCATTTAAGAATAAACCAAGATTTATTAGTGCCCCTAACAAATGAAAGTGAGGGAAAACCTCACCTTCCCTCATGGCTGCATGTGCTATAATAATAGATGAAGTCTCTGTAACAATTTCTACTGACAGAAACAAAAAGACAGAACTATGTAGCACTTTAAAGACTAACAAGATGGTTTATTAGGTGATGAGCTTTCGTGGGCCAGACCCACTTCCTCAGATCAATATGTGGAAGAAAATCAGCACAACCATACATACCAAAGTGATACAATCAAAAAAATGAACGCATGTGAAATTGACAAATCAAATTTTAGAACAGAGTGGGGGTGGGGGGGAAGGTTAGTGTCTGTGAGGTAATGACATAGGGGTGATAATAGGGGAAGTTTCTGTGAGGTAATGACATTAGGGGTGATAATTAGGGAAGCTATCTTTGTAATGGGTGAGATAATTAGAGTCTTTGTTTAAACCCATACATAAAGTGTCAAATTTAAGCATGAATGACAATTCTGAAGTTTCTCGTTTAAGTCTGGAGTTAAAGTCTCTTTGAAGCAATATGCATGTTTTAAGGTCATTGAGGGAATGGTCAGTCTGGCTGAAATGGCAAGCAACAGCTTTCTCTCTGTGAGAGTCCTATGTCTGTTTTGTGTGCATTGATTCTTTGACGAAGTGTCTGAGACATTTGTCCAATGTACATAGCAGACGGACACTTTAGGCACATGATGGCATAAATTATATTTTTGAATGAACAGGAATATGTGTTCTTGATCTTGTAACTGGCATGGTTAGGTCCAATAATGGTTGGACCTTCCCCTCTTACCCCCACTCTGTTCTAAAATTTGATTTGTCAATTTCACATGCGTTCATTTTTTTTAATTGTATCACTTTGGTATATATGGTTGTGCTGATTTTCTTTCACATATTGATCTGAGGAAGTGGGTCTGGCCCACGAAAGCTCATCACCTAATAAACCATCTTGTGAGTCTTTAAAGTGCTACATAATCCTGTATTTTGTTTCAGCTAGACCAGACTAACACGGCTGCATCTCTATCACTATTCTATTGACAGAAAACTTCATGTACAGTAAAACTCCGATAGTCCGGCATCCAACTGTTCGGCACTTCCAATACTCCGGCATCAAAATGCCAAGCGTTCCTGACCAGCTGATTAAAAAGCCTGCCGCTCAGCACATGTGCTGGCTGTAACCAGACGGAGCATAAGGATGGGGAGAGGGAGTGGGATCGTGTTACAGTATGGAGAAGAGCATTTTACTTCAGCAAAGGGGAAAGGGGAGAGGAGAGGGAGGAGGATCAGGTTACAGCACAGAGGAGACGGGAAGAGGAAAGGGGAGCGGAGAGGGAGGGAGATTGTGTCCTGGCCAGCTGTTAAGCCGTGCAGCTGTACCGGACCTCCTGATTCTCTGGCAAATCTGATAATCCAGCACCACCTAGATCCAAAAGGTGCCGGATTATCGGAAGTCTACTGTACATATGCAGCAACTTTCTAGTACACAGAGGCCAGGTAAAAAGGTGACATAGCAGCCTTCATGTTTACTTTCCTTGATTTGATCTGTTTGTGTAAATCACATATAGCTACTTACTTCAAAGGCCTATCATCTTGAGATGCATGCATTTTTGGAGCTTCTGGTCCAATTAAATTATCAGCGTCTGTACTTTCTGCAATACACAAATAAACAAGAATATTACTGCTGTACCTTCTTGCTTTGCATAAATCTGTCACATAGGATATCAACATAGCAGCAGCTGATGCTACTGAACAGAATATTGAGGAGTTTTAACAGAAGTGTTAAACAGAAACAACCTACTTGATCTCTCAATCCAGAGATCATCCCCTTGAAGCGCTTCATCAGAATCTTCACTACTTGAATCACTGGATTTCTTCCTACTCCTCTTACTCTTCTTTTTTTTAGACTTCTTTCTGTTTTACAAAGTTAAAGATGGAATAGTCAGACATTTATACACTAGCAGAGAAAAGGAAACAGTGCTAGAGGCCAGGCTTAACTGATCAATTATTCAAGCAGTGTCCAGCTGGAGGGTTCAATTGAATGATTTTCCCTTTTTCAGTATCTATTTGTTCAATAATTCACCAAAAATGCTTCTTTCCACAGATCATACAATTATCTTTATAGGTCTTGATTATTCTTTCAAGTTTGGACTGGGTTTTTTATTAGCCAGAATTCAGTTTGTCTGAGGTAGAATCATGTTGATTCTGAAGATAGCCTATTACAGGATATCCTTTTAACTACATGAGAAACAGAAGGGTTGGCTTTTCCTTACTCATTAGATAGGCAAATAATATCACAACCATGCTGCCCCATAATGGAAGATACAGATTTTAAAACAGCAGTGTTTTGAATGCAATATTTTGGAGAATTGCTCTTACTTTCTATGTTTCTTTTTCTTCTTCTTGGTTTTCTTTTTCTCTTCCTCATCTGAAAAAAATGAATGTAAAATAACCAAAATCCCACAATAATAAAATGAAGTACCAAGCTTTATTGGAAATACAATCCTCTCTACAACAGCAGCTACAGTAAGAAGGAGAGAACTAAAGCCATGTACACTTAGCAACTCATCTGAGATAAGAGTAGACATGCTATTGAATTCCTCGACTCACCATGCACCGGAATGGCTTAATGGTTAGCTACTACTCCTGGGGGAATTCTGCACCACTGTGCATGTGCAAAATTCATCCCCCCTTCCCCCTAGAAAATATATTCTGCTTACTAATTGTTGCAGTTCTGCCTTTCATCCACCAGAGGCCACTGTGGCACCAGAACAGCCAGCAGCCTGCTGGGTTCATCATAGCATCCTACTCAGAGGGGGGGGGGGGGGCAGCTCTGGAGGGGTTACAGACTGAGGTTCAGAAGGGCTCGTGGAGGAGAGATACTGAAAGGGGCACAAGTTCAGGAGCTAGAGGAGTGACAGCACAAAGCCAGGGCTGATGGGAGCAAATGTGCCTGAATGAATGGGAGAGGTTTTGGGTCGGCTAGGGTCTGCCTGGGGAAGGTTCCCCAGCTTTTTAACAACCTCTCCCACCCAGCCAAAAATCCCCCCCAACAAAATTGTTTCATGCTTTTCCCACCCACATTCAACAACCCTCCAGATTTACTCCCAGGCTCCTTCCTTGTCTCTCAGCTCTCTGTTATCCCAATGACACCAAGCCTTTGCACTGTTCTGAAGGGTAGGAGAAATACATTTTTGTAGTGTAGTTTAAAGGGATTATTCAATGTTCTGTATAAATATGTCTAGTAAGAAATCTATTTGTCTCTACTGTTACAGACATACTTGCTGACAAGTAATTTGAAATACAATTACCAAAATATTTGAAAATTGAGTGATTATATTGTGTTTTGACAAATAAAATATGCACAATTTTAAAATACTGAGCACAGAAATCCCCCAGGAATAAGTTATACGTATTAGAGGGGACGGTCTCAATTCCAGGCTATTTACGGTTTCAAAACAATGGCAAAAATAATATTATTGAATGTACTGATATACTATCACCACATGACCTGAAATGCCTGATGGATTAAATTCAGGATACCTTTCCCTGATGGCCAGATCCCACGCACAGAAGCAAGGCACACAGAAAAACTGAACAGTGAAAGAATTTAAAATACAGGATTATTCACTTATATGAGAATGGTTACAGAAGTGCAGCAGCAGACGCAGTTTGTTGCCTCTGGACTATAATGATGTGCTTTCACATCTTGAACAAAGTGGATTAGGGCTGAGAGACTTCATAGAAGATATGTTTTAAGGAGACATTTGAGTGGAGAGAGTGGTGATTTAGTGCACAAGAATAGAGGCCATTCTAAAGGTAAGAGGTAGCCTGGAGATGAGAATAGGAAAATGGCACAAAGAGAAACTGGTCAATGTTAGACTTGGGATAGAGCTAGAAAATGAGAGCCAAGCACAGGTACAAGTGGAATTACAAAAAGCTTCATTACAATTTATACAGCTATGGGGAGAAGAGAAAAATGTATCTTAGTATATAAGCTATAGTTAAGAGATTCATTTTTTCCCCTTAATGAGCAACTAATATACAAAATCCCAGAATGCCGCGAGGATGCAAACACAACAAATACAATATTCCACATGATTATAAAGAATGCATACAATAGAAAGTTTCAAATCATATATAGCTTAATAGAAGCCTTGCTTTCTTACCACTGGAGTTTAGTTCAGACTCAGATTCGCTGTCACTGTCCCCAGAATGCTTTCTGTGTTTTCTTTTAGACCTCTTTCTTTTCTTTTCCTTTTTTTTCTTCTTTTTTTTCTCTTCTGAAAAGATTTGAAAAGGGAACATTAACTTTCAAGATAAGTGTAGCCTGGCATGCCATTAATATTTTGGCTTTAGTATACTAGAACCCCTTTACATGGAATTTTATTATGCTAGCTTAACTAAGTCACGAAGTTCTTTGTAAGTAAGGTGAACAGATTCTAACCCTTAATCTTCTATTAATGTGTAAACAACTTCTGAGGTCAAAACAAAATACCTTCTGAACTGGAATCTGAAGAGCTGCTCCTCTTAGATTTTGCTTCCTCATCTTCTGCTGGGGTATGCTCATCAGAACTGAACAGACACAAAAAGATCTTAAAAATTATGAAACATCATTTGAAGTGGGGATTGTTTGTCCAAAAATCAAATACATGTATAGAGCTCTGCAAATGCAGATATCCACTTTATATCTGTGGGTATGCGCATCTGTGGATGTGGATATCCACAGCTCATTTTTTAAGATATGGATGCAGGTGAGGATATAATTTTTGTATATAGAACCCTGAATATTTGCAGATATCTGCTTTATATCCATGGGTATCCACATCCATGGATGTCAATGCAGTTATTCTCAGCTCATTTTTGCAGATACAAAGGTGGATACAAATTTTGTATCCACACAGGGATCTACACATGTACAATTTTTGCAAATTCAGAGCCTGTGTTAGTAATCAAGGAAACGATTAAATAGCTAATATCTGAATCACTCTTCAAACCACAATACTAAGACAACATCATTTGATCTACAACATGCTGAAACCTTATGTAATTGATTTGTTGGTATTATACAAAATATGGTATCCAGATATGGCTGTTTAGTGATTTAACTTTGGAGACATGTAACATGAATTACAAAGAACAACAACAAGACATTTCTGTAAATATTAGTGTTGATATTAATTAAATGTTATCTTATATAAGCCTCCAAATTAGAGTGCCAGAAGGCAAAAAAATCCCATGAGAAATTGCTTACTCTGGGTCAGGAACCTTTGGTGACAGTCCCCAGACTTCAGGTGCTCCCAGTTCTCCAATCCTCTCTCTCTCATTCAGTCTCCTATAAAGATACATACCTGCATTAAAACCGAATATGCTACCATCAAACAGGTATTCAAAACCTGAATAGTTTGTTTTATCAGCATTTCTCGTCTCCATAATTAAATTTGCTGAAAGGATATTTTCTTCATGTTAGTATTTAAAATTTGCTTATTCTCTCCCAAAACAAGACACTTCAACACTAATTTTTCAGTTACTGGGGGGCCAGTATGTTTGAGACATTTTTAAGAAACACTTATGCATGCTTCAGTTAACCCTCAGACTTTGTAGTCTGGTAAAACAGGATTTTTGGCCACGTATGTAATGTTCTTGATTGTTTTAGGAAGTGGATGTAATCATCATGGTAAATATTTAGATACATAATTTGTAATGGAAAAACTAACAGGCAAAGGTACCTAGTCTGTGGCAGATAACTGTACAAAACATCTCTCCATGTGCCCTCGTCTAAAAAAATGGAAGACCTAATTTGTAGAGACAACACATTCTAATATGTGATGCTTTGCTTCTGATCGGAACAATCAGACTTGTCATCACTGTTGACTGTAATCAGGGATACTGGCAGTTTTTATATTGGGGGTGCTGAAAATCATCAAACCAAACTGTAAATCCTGTTATAATTGAAACCACTTCAAGCCAGGAGGAGCAATAGCACCCTCTGCACCCCTAATTTCAGCACCTAAAGCTGTACTATATGTAGGGCCCTATCAAATTCATAGACATGCAAAATGCATCGTCGACTGTGAAATCTGGAGTCCTCCCAATGAAATGTGGACTTGTGTGTGATTTTACCCTATACTATACATGGGGAAACCAGTGTTTCTCACATTGGGTGTCCTGACCCAAAAGGGAGTTGCAGGGGGATCACAAGGTTATTTTAGGAGGGCCACAGTACTGCCATCCTTAGTTCTGTGCTGCCTTCAGCGCTGGGCAACTATACAGCAGTAATTGTAATTTGAAAGGCAGCATCTTGCCAGCAGCAGTTCAGTGGCAATACAGTACTGCTACTTTCAGCGATGGGCACCTGGAGAACGGCAGCTGCTAACTAAGGTCCCAGCTCTGCAGGCAGAAGTGCAGAAAGAAGGATAGCAGTACCATAACATACCATCCTTATTTCTGTGCTGCTGCTGGCAGTAGCAATGTCTTCCACGCTGGACTCCCAGCCACCACTTTCCAGATCCCCAGTTCTGAAGGCAGCACCACCACCATCTGCAGCACAAAAGTGCAGTAGTGCCACCCCCCCGCCACTCAAACCTTGCAAACCCCATACAACTCCTTTGTGGATCAGGACCCCTGCAATTGCAACAGCATGAAGCTCCAGCTTTTAATATCCAAAATCATTATATTTACCATTTAAAAAATCCTATAATCATGACATTGACCCAAATGGACTATGAATTTGGTTGGGCCCTAACTATCTGGAAGATTGTCACTTTTGCAAGCTACCCATGATAACTTAACAAGTTGGGCCCTATCATACCTGTGGGGCTGCATCATTGCATTAACACAGATGTCTCCACACTATTTCATTTCATGTCCCTTTGAGGCTCTAATTTACATCCCTGCATAATTTCTTTAATAGACAAAGTTAGGGAAAACGGACCTAATTTTCCAAAAAAATAAGGTAGCGCAAGGACTACTATGAGAAGGAGAATCTGGTAGCTAAGTGGTAAGGGGCATTTAAAAGAAGATTGGACAAGGCACGGAAAGGTACATAACAGGGAACACGCCTGCACTGGGAAAAGGGGCGGGGCACACGCTGCAGCTCGGGTAGCCGGGGCGGGCGAAGGCAGCTCGGGGGGGGGGGCCGGGACTCGCCTCTGCCGCAGGATCTCTTCCTTCTCCTTCTCGTAGTAGTCCGGCCACTGCTTGCCGCCGCCGTGGTGATGGTGCCCGTGGTGAGCGGAGGAGGAGCGCGGCCCGCCCGGCGTGCGCTCCCGGGAGCGGGACCAGCTGCGGCTCCGCCGATGCTTCGAGCCGTTGCGCTCCCGGGACCGCGACCTCCTGCCCCGCTTCTCGGGGGACGCAGGCCGGTGGGGCCGGAGGGTTTTTGGGGGCGAGGGACTCGCCGAGGAGCTGCTGCCGCCCTTCCACCGGGGGCCTGGAGATCCTGGAGGGCTTCGAGACCGGGACACAGGGGCCATCTCGGCCTCCCGGGCCGGGGGCAGGAGAGGTCTCCCGGGTTGCTACCGTAGCGCCAGCAGCGACCGCGGGGACTTCCGGGTGGCGCACTTCTGAACTATCCCGTGCAACACCACTTCCGGTTTCTGCGCCCTTTCCCCCCCATATTAAGAAAGTGCTTCCGGGTACAACCACCCACATCCGTCCCCCGGGAAACAATTTCCGAGTGTTGCTACCAACCCCTTCCGGTACTCGTGCACAGAGCAATTGAACAACCGAGTGCAACAGGCTGAGTCGCCGCCCGGAAACGAGGCGGTGTCGCTTGGTTCCTACGGCAGGGTTCGTTGCGGGCGACCCCGTGCGAGCGGCCAGACGGCTTCGGGTTGTCGGAGTCCGGCGGGATGCAGGAGAACGGGGTCGAAGCGCCAGGTAAGGAGGGACCAAGAGGCGGGCGGGCACCCCGCCCCCATCTGACAGCGGGGCGGCCTGACCCTCACGCATGGTGCTGCCCCCCATGTGGGTGCAGGGGACGCAGCCCGCCCTGTGGCCGGGGGAACCCAGCCCCCATGGCTCTGCTGGAGATGGGCTCCCCCCAAAGGTCCCGCGGGCTCCATGGAGAGATGGGCTCCCCCCAAAGGTCCTGGGGTCGCCAGGCTGAGAAGAGAGAACAGGTGGCCCCACCCGGCGCAGTGGGGAGGGTGAAACTCGGCCCCCGGGAGCGGCCTGAGACCAGCATCTCCCCGACATAGGTCCCAGACCAGCCATCAGATGGAAGCAGCGTTTAGTCAATACTTAAGGCAGTCAAGCAACAGCAGCAGCTGGATATCCCATCCCATCCCCAGCCCCTTCCATTGCTGTAGTGAGGTATCACTGAATCATTTAATCCGTGGCTCTACAAAGGTGCCATTAAACAAGGAGGACTCAGAATCCTGTGGGAGATGGAAGTGCCCAAGGAGAACAGGAGTAAACGACAGTCAAAATTTCTGTCCTCCTACTGTTTTGGCATTGTCATCAGCATCCTGTTCTGTGCAATCTGTGAGATGCAACCTAGTTGGTCACTGTGCTAACAGGGCAAGCTGCATACAATGCTTCAGTCAAAGTAAAAGTCAGTAGAAAAGACTTTCCCTCACTGACTCCATATTACACTTGATAACTACGGTGACCTGTACATGGGGATGAATATGCAAGTTCTGGAAAAGCCTCATGATGCAGCAGCCCATCTTACTGACCAGCATCAAAAGGCAAGAGTGCATTTTAATCTAGTGCCTTCAGGAACTACACAGACTAAGCTTTGAATGTCCGATAGACAGTTCAGAGTCACAGTGCTATTCTCCAAAGTTTCTCTTCAAATGGGATGTGTCCCAGCTGCCTGAATTAACATCTATGACTTTTTTCTGGAATGATGGAGCTGTCCACAACAGGAACAATGTTTAAAATAAGTGGAAACAGCACTTTTCCAGTGGACAGCTCATGGTTATGGAACTTCCTTCCCCCCAAAATTAGAATGACTGAATCTTCCTGCTTTCGTATTTCAATGCAAAATCCAACCTTTTGCCCTTAGTTTTTCCACAGCAGTTGACCCTTTGCCCCCACCAAACAACCATCAGCAATGAAGGAATAAATAAACATGCAAAACATACAAAAAGCCACTACGTTTTCATTAGTCCTTAGATTTTTTTATTTTAAAAGGTCACCTTAGAATCAAAATAAACAACACAGCAATAATCCAGAGAGTTATAAAAGTTACATAATAAAAGCAAACAGCCTTTTTTTTTTTAAATGGGTGTCAGTGGAGGAAATCTTTATCAAGGATGTTGTTTGTTTTTTTAAAAGCCCTCTTGTAGGTAACAGTCTTTCTTTTGCTTGGGGAAGTAATGTATAATATTGTCCTGACATCAAGTAAGCCTGCCATAAATATCCAAAGAATTATTTTATAATATTATCTCATACTGTCATGTCATCTTATGTAAGCCAAAATCAAATCGAATAGAAGGATATGTCTCAACGTTGTTTATAGTTGGACAGCTGTTTCAGTTACCAGATCTATAAGGTGTGGCATAAGCAGCAAAAAACCTGTTCAAATTATATATGGAAATTAGTAAATGTATAGCACTATGCATTTGGTAAATTGGTAAATGTATAGCACCAAAGAACTGCACTATGCATGGTATTCTTACATTATGTTTCTATCTATGCAGTGAGGCTGTGTCTAGACTACATGCCTCTGTCGTCAGAGGCATGTAGATTAGACACATAGGCAAAGGCAAATGAAGCCGCGATTTAAATGATCGCGGCTTCATTTACATTTACATGGCTGCCGGGCTGAGCCGACAAACAGCTGATCAGCTGTTTGTCGGCTCAGCGCGGCAGCCATGTAAATGTAAATGAAGCTGCGATCATTTAAATCGCGGCTTCATTTGCCTTTGCCAAAACAACAAATCTACATAGCTCTGTCGATGGAGCCATGTAGTTTAGACGTACCCTTAGGTTGGGATATCTCTTCCATTGCCAGAAGTGCTGTGGGGATAATGACAATGAATATCAGGAGACTTCCCTTGTTTAATGCTTCTGAGTGATCTCTTTAAAGTGCTAGTAGACTATTGGTTGTTTTTTAAGTTTTTCATGTTACAGACTAACATGGCTACCCCTCTGAAGCCTATGTTCTAATAGAGTAGGAGGAGAGTAGTGAATTGAGTACAAGTCAGTGAGCCTGAGTTCTAATCCCAGCTCTGACACAATCTGTGGAACTAGACTAAATTGTGGCCAGAATTTTAACTGAGCTGAGCACCTTCAGCCTCCAGTGAAGTCAGACACTCAGGCTGTGTCTACATTGGCATGATCTTGCGCCAGAGCGGCCGCTTTTGCACACAAACATGCTGCCTGTCTACACTGGCGGGGAGTTCTTGCGCAAGAACACCGACATTCTAATGTGTGAAATCAGTGCTTCTTGCGCAAGAACTATGATGCTCCCACTCAGGAATAAGCCCTCTTGCGCAACTGTTCTTGCGCAAGAGGCCAGTGTAGACAGGCAACATTAATTTCTTGTGCAAGAAAGCCCGATGACTAAAATGGCCATCGGAGCTTTTTTGCGCAAGAGAGCATCTACACTGGCATGGATGCTTTTGCGCAAAAGCACATCTCTTGCGCAACAGCACATGCTAGTGTAGATGCTCTCTTGCGCAAATACTTTAACACAAAAACTCTTGTGTTAAAAGTATTTGCACAAAATCTTGCCAATGTAGACGTAGCCTTAGCTTTTAGTTGCACTGAAGACAGCTACTCATTACCTCGAAAACTAAGACCATGAATCTCTCCTTTAGTTTTTCTGTTGGTAAAATGGTGATTAACATATTCAACTATCCCTCAGTAGTCTTCTGTGGGTTAATTAGTAATTGTAAAGCTCTTTGAAGTATTTTATACATAGGTTACGTCTACACTGGCACCCTTTTCCGGAAATGCTTAAAACGGAACAGTTTTCCGTTATAAGTATTTCTGGAAAAACCGCATCTACATTGGCAGGATGCTTTTCCGGAAAAGCACTTTTTCTGGAAAAGCGTCCGTGGCCAATGCAGACGCGCTTTTCCGGAAAAAAGCCCCGATCGTCATTTTTGCGATAGGGGCTTTTTTGCGGAAAAGATTACTGTGCTGTTTACACTGGCCCTTTTCCGGAACAATTTTTCCGGAAAAGGACTTTTGCCCGAATGGGAGCAGCATAGTTTTTCCGGAAAAACACTGACAATTTTACAGTAGATTGTCATTGCTTTTCCGGAAAAGCAAGCGGCCAGTGTAGACAGCTGGCAAGTTATTCCGGAAAAGCAGTTGCTTTTCCGGAATAAGTGGCCCATTGATAGTGTTTATATAATTATTGCATTCTACATATAACAGCATGCTGCTACATGTGGCATATGATCCAACTCCAAGTAATGTTAAAAGAAAGTCTTCCACAGACTTTAGTGGGAGTTGAACTAGGTTTTATTACAATATTAAAAGCCAACCAATGCATAAAATACAAAACAAAGCAAAAAATAGAAATCAGATGGGAATTAGTGTTCTACTGTCCTTCTGGCATTAGTAGTGTTCCCAGCATCACAATATTGCTCTTTGTATAGATTATTTCTGTCCCTAGAGATAATCCAGTTAAAATGACTGTCAAATTTTCATTGGTACTGAAAATTCAACCTAGGTATTCAGTGAAGATATTTCTGTCTCATGACATGTTCATGAAAGCTTGGTTCTGTTATTTAGTCTCTAGCAAATTTTATTTATTCTTTTAAAATAAATTAAGTATAACTCTGTCATGACTGAAGACTTTTCCCTGTCTCACAGAAGTAAGTCTTTAAAAATGCTCTCTGTCCCTAAGTATTTCTACCATGAACATTTCCTTTTTCAAAAAAGAAAACTACTCTTAAGATGGTTTAAGTCAAAACTTCACATCTATTGCTCTTAGGGATGTTAAAATGGTTAAGTGGTTTAACTCAGAGTGGTTTAACTCAGAGCCTGGTCCCACTGCATCCTGCAGCATCCATTTAGTCACTTTTTAATTCCAACATCCATTTGTCACACCAAACTGAGAAAGCAAATTTCTGAATTGAACGCCCTCCACACAAAATGCTATAATCAAGCAGTGCCCAACCACCAGGCTGCAGCTCACTGTCAGGCCACAGACCTTTGGCTGCTGGGCTGCGGTGGCTCTGGGGCCCAAGGCTGGGATACACTGCTCTTGCCATGGCTGTTGGGAGAGTCGTGTCCTGCCTCACCTCTCAGCCAACTAGTGAGGGGCAGGGGCAGAGTCTCCTCCCGGCCACAGAAGAACGCTTTCCTGCTCGGTGGGAAGGCTGCCTGGAACCGCTCCATATGGCCCTCCCACTGCACAGGGAAGAGCTTGTCCATGGCTGGAGGAGACCCTGCCCCTGCCCGGTGCTGGTTGGCTGAGAGGCGGGGCAGGACATGCCTTTCCCAACAGCTGCAGTGGGAGGGAAGGTGATGGGTGGTGTACCCAGACCTGGCCGTGATGCAGTCAGCAGTGCAGGCCTGGGTGAGGGGGTGGGGCTAATGCTGGGGAGCTCTGGAGGCTGAGCTAGTGGTGGGGGCAGGCTATAGAGGCAGGGATAGCACTGGGGTAAGGATGTTAAATTTAG